TAACACAGTCAGAATTGCACAAGAAGAATATGTCCAACCAGATTCCATTTAGACAACACTGAAATTAACCTCTACCAGGCAATGACACCAATAGAGGGAAACCAGAATTCCATGCACCATTGCTATGGTAAAGCTGTTAACAAACTTCTGCAATTTAACTATATCCTCATTTACAGTGTTTCCAAGTCCTTCTGGGAGCAACTGTAGGAGTTCTATGAAAGCACTGCAGCTGACCCRAGGCAAAGCAAGCAGCAGCATATTATTAAATATCTGAAGAGTTGGTGGCATAAAATTATCAACAACTGCTATAGTAGGATCTYGCTGTGCATGAGGCAGTCCAGCCAAAACGAGAATCCCTCAACCGAATGAACTGAGCAGGATGAAAGCAAAAAGATTCACGACCTGGTCAGAAAAGGCTGAAATAGTAAGATGAGCTGAGCAAAAATAATTTAGATGTTTAGATGTCTCACGCTAACCCTAACAAATCGACAGAGCTGAAACCACCTTTCACCCAGAAATATTACAACACAACAGGAAGGTGAGTGCATTAGAGATACATGAGAAGGATGAATAGTCTGTAAACAAGGTGTATCACAGGCATGTCATACTAACAAATGGGGCCAGGATATATTTGTAATCCCCACAAGCCAAGCCACAGTAGAAGAAGCATTTCAGAAGGAAGATCAGCAAGAAATGTAACTGTTCACATCAGGTATGCAAGCGTTATTTTTAACAGTTAGATGAACAGATTTTACATGTTGGAGATCTACTTTGATTCTTCTGAATTTTGATATTACAATACACTGTCACAGCTGAAATGAGGAGAAGCACTTAAAGTGAAGTTCTTCTCTGGGAGGATATAAAGAAAATTACCAGAAGAGTACAATCTTTGATTATAGAAAATACCACGTTGGCTTCGAAGTGCCCAGCAGAATTCAAGAGTCTTGTAATTGATAGTGAAAAAGATTTTTTTTTGCTGGCTGATATATTGAAGGAGTATTCCACTCAGTCTTATGCACTCAGCATTGCCACTTTCACCAAAAACATAATTCCAAAGGTATCTTTAAGTAAAAAGCTCTTGTTTTTAATACACATTTATAAATRACTGAAAAGAGGGTTGGCTATAACGCCTTTCCTACACATTTTCAACTCAGTCTCCCTGTTAGCTCACAGTTAATRTTGTTTCCAAAACAATGCTGAGAAAAACAGTAGGCCAATTCAGACAAAAAAGTGCCAGTCTCATGACAAGCTGAACCAATCACTGGAATTCATCTTCTCTTGAAGCCAGATGCTAACTCACAGTCTGCAGTATCCATAATGATCTGGGGTCAAGAAACTCATCTGTGACAATTTTCCCTTCTTTTGGCCAACTTGGCCTAACACAGAAAGTCCAGCTCAAAGAGACATGTAATTGGGATGTTTTGAAGATGCTGACTAACCAAGGGGATGAATCTAAAGAACAATGAGTTTAAATAGCAAGAGGATTTTATTTCAGGAAATTGCACCATGGGAATCATGGTCAAACCATTACATTCTAATAGCATCAAACTATAGGCTGACCATCTGTAATTCAAGCATATTATTAAATATCTGAAGAGTTGGTAGCATAAAGTTATCAACAACTGCTATAGTTAATAAAACACAGGGAAAATCATTGCAAGTCACATCAAGTTCTGCTACTACCTGCTTAATTTCCTATTACTGTAAGTAGTAACCCTGTATTTCTTCCCTCTCCTGTGTTGCCTCAAACCACCACAGCAAGAACTAGAACAATATCCAAAGCAAATGCAAACACCTTCATCCTTTACTGTGTGTAAGGRAAAAGATCTAAAACCCCCTGTGTTTTTAAACACGTCCTCTTAATATCATGCGTGATTCTTATGACAACTTACACCAGAACATAAATTACAGAGAGAGATAGTATCTAAATGACACTTGAGAACTTCTTTAGCAGTAAGTTCTTCATCAAACCTAGCCTAAGCACTGCTACATTACTAATTAGCCTGTCATGACAGATTAGTAGACAGTCATTATTTTACCCAAGTCAAATTTACAGATAAATTTGCATTTCTCAGGAACAACTCCCTGAAAATAATTTTATGATTAAGACTGAGAAATATGACAGAAACAGATGACCCATGAACCTAATATGAACACTTTTAATTCTAACCCCTTAAACAAAGGATTAGAGTTTCTTAATTATACTATCAACAGGCCCAGTGTTTGAAGGGTTGTTTTTTGTTTTGTTTTTTTTTAAATTTCCATTATTATGTTCCTTACTTGAATACACCATCAAAGGTTCCCCGACCTGATTGTCACCACTGATTAGCATCCCTTCCTGTTGAAATATTCCTAAATATGGTAAAAATAAACTTCAGAAAATAAAAGCATTTGGGCTTTATCCAAATATTTGGACTCTTGAGGATGACAAGGGTTAACCTCCTCAAATCTCTTGGCATTCTTTAATTTAATTGCAGTCTTAARCAACATTCTTTCACCAACTATACCTAAAAAAAGCAGGTGCACCCCTCAAAATCTCTGTACTAAGTTGATACGAAATGGCAAACTATTATGGATGACTAGGTTCCACTGCAGCASCATGCTAACAGGACTGGCCAAATGCTGCTGGCCAGACAAACTGAAAAATTTGTCCTGAACAAGAGACATGCTCCTCAAAACAATGGAAAACAACTTAGTTCCAGATATATTCCCTGCAATCCATCATCCTAAATGGTTCCAAAATAATTTCCAACTACTCCACGGTACTGATCAGTGTTCAGTAGACAAGAATGCACAGCTATTGTAGCAATACTATCAACTACACCAAATTAATATGAAATTATGAATAGCTGCTGTCTGCCTTTCTCCTTCAGGAACCTATTTTTAAAAAGAAATCTTTCTTGCTGGRTAAGAACAAAAGGAGAACACTCAACTTTCAGTCAAAGAAAATAAATGAAAAATAGCACTATGGCTTGACAACTCTTGGAAGTTTCCTGAGAACATGAGAGCTTACCCTAGAGCTGATGCTATCTTATGAAGCCTGCCAAAAAATTCATCCAGATAATAGCACATTCCCAAGGGGCCTCAGAGGAGAAGAGCCCAGGGACGCTTTCTGGGAGACTTCATCACKCCCRTCTCTCTGGCACAAATCCAGTTAASTGAAGRATAAAGGCAGCAGGCTCCTGAAAGTAGGCTGTCACCAACTAAACAGCCTGCTGCTCCTTCAGTCTCCCCCAGGACACCACGAAAGGGGACAAAASAAAAAGGCTGTTTACCAGTGAAAATTTGCCCATTGCCCACTATCTGCTTTTCCAAGAGCAATTTGGRACTGAGTGGTTATTTCTCTTTGCTCATACAGCATACAGAATAACGCTTTGAAAATTATGTCCTGGTGATCATATTTACAAGCACAATAGGTAAGGCACTGGCATCCCCTGCACCTAGAAAAGAGCAAATAGCCACTAAAGTAACTGCTGGATGCTGCTGCTCCACATTGAGACTCCCAGTGCGAAGGAGTCCATCCACTGGACTGAGATCTAGAGAGATCCATTCARGCACTCTGAGCTCCCCTGCCAGCCAGAAGTTCTAGGAAGAAAAAAAGTGAACACCTGCCAGAACCTGAGCCTATCGCTTTTTAATCTTATTAGTTCAAATCATACTCACASATAATACTACCACTGTTTCAGTTCTCTAACAGACCACGGAAAACTGGCAGGCAGTACAATCTCTTCCTCACTTTCAGCTGTCAAATTACAGTAGAACAACTAAGAAAAATTATTTACTTTTTCCCAAAATAAGTAAGTCAAGTTTGACACCAACAAAATCATTAATTAAAATGCAGTCTGCAACTTAAAAGTGTAAACAGTTCAAAATGAGAAGACCGAGGCTATGTCTTATTTTGAGGTAACAGACTAAGATTTTCATGAACATAGAACTTATGCCTCAGTACTTTGTTTGTGCACTAATCCTGTCCCCTGAAAAGACACATACTTTTCAAACTTTTTGACTTGGTCTTTTTTTGAAGAGCTGAAACTTCTAAGGTTTGATAAACATTAAGAAACAATGTAGTTGAAAGTTACAACTAGTACAAGGCCATTAGAGAATTGGTTTCAAGAAACTTATACAGTGTTACACTGCTGTAAGTAAAATAAACGCGGGGAAAGGAGTTACTAATTCACATATGAGAAAAAGTCCCTTTGTATTATGTGATTCCCCAGACAAAGCTTTTATCACTCAAAGTGAATGAGATGTCAGCAGCAGACATCGAAAACAAACCATATTACACAATCTGAAATCAGACACACAAAACTAATTATTAACTGTCTWTATGTTATTTTAACATCAGTTTGGACACATCAGCATAAAGCACAATTTTTGCCAAGTAAAAGCCAGACATTTCCTCTCCATCTAGTCTGGCCTTGGAACAAGCAARGTAGGGATGACACCTGATCTCAGCACGGCAAGTTTTACTTGAAAGGAAAAGAAAAAGCTCCCACAGGAATCCCCTTAAAGCACTAAACACAAAACGCTTTGACGATTTTCTCATGTCTATCTGTGAAGCAACTGTAGATGGTGCTTTCTGCTGCTCATCCCCTCAACAACACTCCAGCGAGGACCTTTCTCGCTACTTGTTTTGCTGTGCTGCAGCGTTACTCGCGCTGAGCAGGCCAGCTCGTCCCCCTCGAGCATCCCCGCGCTCGCCGGCCCGGCCCGACAGGCCACAAGGGCCCGCGGGGGCCCCGCGCTGTCACCGGCCAGGCCGCAGCCCCCGCCGCCCCCGCCGGGACACATCCCCGGCCCGGCCCGGCCCGGCCCGGCCGCTCCCTCCGCACCGTGACCGCCGCCGCTCCCGCTTCCCGAACGGGCGCCAGCGAGCCCAGCAGCGCAGGGCCGGGACAGAGGGGCGGCCGGCCGCGGGGGATGGAGCGGGTCGCAGGGCCGGCCGCCAGCGGGGTTACCTCGGGCAGAGGCCGGGCCGCGGAGCCCCGGGAGCCACTCACCCACATCCTGGTCGAAGGGGTTGGTGGCGAAAAGCGGCATCGCGGGGCGGGGGGCGCGGGGCGGCCGCCCCTCCCGGCAGCGCGGCGGCAGCGGCGGCGAGAGAGAGAAAGCAGCGCTCGGCGGCGGCGGCGGCAGCTCCTCCTCCCGCCCCGGGCAGCACCGCCACCTCCTCCTCCCGGGCCGGCCCCGCCTCCCGCGCAGCACGACGGGAACCGGGGCTGGAGCTGCCGGGGAATGGCCGCCGTTCTGCGGGGCTGCTGCCCCGGCCTGCCCCACCACCCCGGGCCGAGCATCCTAGGGCCGGCACGGCTTCCCTCAGCGGAGGCTCATGTTATCTAGTTGCGCGGAGCTCTTTCGTCCTCCCTGCTTAGGAGGCCCAAGTTGTGTGCCCAGACACGTTTTCTTCCTGTAGAAGGTTTTTGGAGCTTCCCTATATGTTGGACTCACTGAATATTRTCATTGGTAATGCCACCGTGTTTGTGACATGGGTTGCCTGATGGCAGAGTGTGGCTGGTGGTTATGCCAGCGTCTCTCACAGCATAGCACCGGAGCCTGACCACTTCTTTGTGGTCACATCCCGTGAAGATCAGTAGCCATCAGTAGGTTACAGGGCCTGAGATATCCCATGGCCTTCAGTCGCCTATCTTGCTACCCCACTTGTAAGAGTATGTTGCTGRTGTCAGCGGGGTGTGCCCCACGTTAACAATATGACTCATAGGATAAGACARGTTCTGCCTATTCTGGTGYTATTTTATTCCACATAAARCTCAAGTCATTATCCWTAAGGCCTTTTAGTACTGTTTGATTATTCTGAACTGGTTGGATTGCAAATTAAGTAAAACTGGGCTCATGCATACACTTGGGGGAAGAGTCAGACATAGAGCAGTAGGGGCACATCACAGGCGTGCAAACAAGAAATGAAAAAGGTACTGCTGCTGTTYGCAGGGCAGAAACACTAGTTGCAATCAATAGCACTAACCATGCTCAATAATGAATGTGATTGCATCCATTAGGCAGACTTCTGACACATCAAATGAAAACTGCACAMCAAGCCTCTTCCCACAGGGATTTACAGTCACTAGGTACTGTGTTATTTTACTAAGTTTTTTTCCCCACCTCTCTAATTCTGTTTCTTTACCTATCCATAACAACTGTTTTCAGCAGCTRATGCATTGATCTACTGCTTAGAACTGGCTGCTTGTAAGGAAATGCATGTTTTCTTTGGATTCTGCCTTAATTCAATGACATCTGCTGGGTATTCTCAGAGGATGCTTTACCTCGTCCCCATTCATCATCCACCATTATGTTCACAAAAGGCATATGGTAGATGTTCTCTGAGCCAGTTTTATCCCTTCCTTTCTCATCCCTTCTTTCTGATGTRTTTCAAAATGAATTGTAGGAATCCTTTCAAAACAAAGAGTTTTCATGCTGTAGTTCATGCAGGAGGACCTAATACAAGACACATGGGGAACTGGGGTTTTAGACTGCTTTCAGCCTGAAAGCGTTCCAACCCATCCTTACTTCCCAATACCCTACTCARCATTTTGGAAAAGGTGGTCTATACTCAGGAAATATCTTAAGTCTCTGTAATCATTGCTCATATTTTGATTCCATAATTATTTTTTAATTGTTGGACACAGTGTGAAGTCATTCCAAAACTCCATATTATGTTTTATCCCTCTCTTTTCCCTGTCTCAGGGCTCTAGCATTTTTCCACAGAAATGGGTAGTGGCTAGGGCACTCTCCTATGAAGTGTAGGGTTTGCCCTCTCAGATACAAATGGCTATGGAAAACAGCTTTTTCACCTTATGTATGACTGGTATAATGCATATGCTATTAAAAACAGGTGTGCTAATCTTCCTTTACTGGATGTAGTTCAAAATGTAGGTATTATTTCCTAATGCTGCTTAAGTTAGCTATCTAAAAACAAGTCTAGTTCAAAGGTGCAGTATCAAATTGCATCTAATTTTGGGGTATCTACAGCTGAAAGAGAATGTAGCAACACCGCACTCCTCGTGCCCACAACTATGTGCTGCCATCACATTTCTCGTATTAGATTTGGAATCTGATCCATTTAATTTGTGGTTGCACAATCAGCTGATCCAGCTGAAAACTACCTCAATGCAGAGAAGTTCCCTGTTGGATCATGTCACACCTCTGACTCACCTTGGAATTAGATCAGGCATGTGAAGAGGTGGGAAGGCACAGCTGGGGACAGTACTTCAGCAGACTGGGTCTGGAAAAACAGGCATGTCCAGGGKATTATTCATCTGTTCTATTTTGAACCTCTCATTCTGAAGATGGCCTCTGCAACAGTGACTCTATTGATTCTACAGATAAGCCTATCCGCCCAACAGTTCTCTGACTTAGAAGCTGTCTCTAGACAGCCTTATAGCAAGTTTTAAATAGGGTCCTTTTAAAAAAATATGTGCTACTTTTGTCTGAAGTGAGCAATATCAGATGACTGGTACAGACATTTCTCCTTTCTTTGCACACTTCTCTTTTTCATATAGTACTGTTTTTCAGATACAGCTAAGAGATCACCGTATCACAGAATGTCTTGGGTTGGAATGGACCTTAGAGATAATCTAGTTCAAATCCCCCCGGCTGGAAGAGGGAAAGGAGCACTTTCCACTATACTAGGTTGCTCAGACCTCCATTCAATCTGGCCTTGAACATTGCCAGGTTTGGGGCATCTACAACTTCTCTGGGCMGAAGTTCCAGAGTCTCACCACACTCACAGTAAAGAATTTCTTCCTAATATCTAAGTCTACCCTATTTCAGTTTAAASCCATTGTCCCTTGTCTCATCACTGTTTCTTTACAATATCCTAGTTACAAAGTCCCTCTCCAGCTTTCTTGTTGGCCCCTTTCAGATACCAGAGGGCCAATACAAAGAGGTTTCCCCAGAGCYTCCTCCAGGCTGTACAGCCCTGGCTCTCTCAGCCTGTCTCCAYAGCAGAGCTGCTCCAGCCCTCTAATCATATTTTTGACCTCCTCTGGACTCACTCCAGCAGGTCCATGTCCTTCCTATGCTGGGGTCTGCAGAGCTGAATGCAGCACTCCAGATGGGGTCTCATAAAGGCAGGTATTCAGGTAATTTCTAGTGTAACAACACACTTCCTGGATTTTAAAGATGTGGCATACATTTGATTAAGTAAGTGTTTTATTTATGTTGTTTATTTGTATAATTTATTACTTWTTTTTTAAATTATTGGTAGTTTTTATCCATATGAAGCTTAGTTCTGCATTCTGATTATATACAGTGATTCATTTCCCTGCAGTCTTCTGTAGGAAAGGGTACTTAGGAACACTAACTTGTAAATGACATCTGCTAGGGAAGTTATAATGTTCTTTACAATCACTCAGTTGACACCCATCTGCATTAGACAAGCATTTTCTTAGAGGAAGGCAAAACCATTGTGGCCATGGAGGTCCACTGCAGTTCCAGTTTACTGGGATAGTATGTCCCTTGTCATGTCTACTTATTTTAGCATATATTAGTTTTATAGCTGCTGCATTGTAAAAATAAGGTGTATGATGCCAGGAAAAAGTCAGGCCAATACACTTCTAGCAAGGAGACAGATATGAAGAGCAATGATTGAGTCACAAATCAGTCCTACTGACCTTTATTTTAACTGCATTTTCATTATAGTCCACTGTGTACATTGCTTTTGGAACTGGAAGCTGTGAAGAAATATCAAAAGAAAAGAGAAAGGTTCAGAATAGAGCAAGTGCCAGCAGTCCATTTAATCACAGCTTTTGTCTTTGACAGGGCAAGTACAAAATGTTTTGGATGGCATACAAGATGCTATAATGCACAACAATACGATGGTATGACTAAGACAAAAATTTTCTCAGTTACAGGACACATGTAGATGTTTAACTACTGGGCCACAGTGATTTAATTCCCATCTATAATCTTACTGTATATGTCCTTATATTTTGCAAGTGTCCAAGTAGCATAGCTTGTAGTATTAGCTATTTCATTATATAGAGAGAATATATGAAATGTGTCAATACAATAAGTCTGGTGTCTGCTGTTACATTGGAAATCAGGATAAAATTATTTAATTGTCTCTTTTTACCGTAAGATTTATAAAGTATGCAAGTAGGATTCTATGAAGCGTATAATTGGAGTTCCTTCAATTCCATGTAATCTTTGAACTAGGCAAAGATTCTAGTAATAGATTTCATAAAATAAAATTAACTTTGCCCTGGCCACATTGAAAATTGTGATGTTCAACTTTCTAGTTATTATTTSCATTTAGATGCCAGAAACAAGGGTTTATAGATTCCTCAATCTCTGAATTCAAAGCAGTACTTGCAAACCAATGTGCATGAAGTAATATTTCATGTGTTCACACTGCAGTTTTGTTAAATGATTTTGGATAACAAGTTCATTGAAGTCAAACACAAAAATGCGTTTATGCTATTTGCTTTAGTAATATTAAAATGTATGGTGATACACCTGTAAAAGGCAGATAATCTGTAAGGTGCTGGCTGCTGGGATCTCTGGGTGCCTGGGCTTCCCTGGGGATGTTGGCCAGAGCATCACTCTGTGCCAGCTTCCCCAACACTGCCATAGGGAACCACTTGTCCTAGTGCTTTTTTTGGCACAGACACCTGTTTTCAGTGTGGCCAAGCTGACTACACCCAACACRGTCACTTTTTCTTGCTGATAACTCAGACCAGTTTTCAACCAATGATGAGGTTAAAATTAATCTTTTTGTTCTCCACCACTCTGTGAAGAAGGAAATAGAAATACTTCCACAGGCCATAACGGGCCTCAGATTGGAACACTACTCACTTGAAAAAGAGCCCTTTTTAACTCAAGTTCTTGAAATAAAACTAACAAKCTTAGATTGTGTGTGCTCTGAAACTAATAATGGAAGCAGTCTCCTCTAGAGAGAGTGCAGCTCTCACACAAGTAAGCTACAATTGAAATATAAAGAAAATCAGAAGGAATTTTTAGTATTATGAAACCCTGTGAAAAATTTGTCTGATATATCTTGGGCAAGGAATCAAAGCCTCGTTATTTAAGACGTATATTGCTTTTATTGCATGATATAGAAAGGGAAATTAGGAATATATTTATGCTAGCAGTTAATTTCCAAAGTGTATTTTATTTTACTCACATGCACAATACCATTGAAGTTAACAGTACTAATTTCAGTTTTAAGCTATATATATATACACAATTAGAATATTAGAGTTAACTTATCGATACAGCCAGTCTGCAATAGGCAAAGATATTAGGGATCCCATCATATCTAAAATGTTCCATAAAGAAATTGTTGTACAGTTAAATTAGTCCATTATAGCAAAAAGTATACTGAGTTTGAACAAGCCAAAAACTCAAATAAATCAAACACTAATGAGCAGTCYAGTCATCTCCCTTTAGCACGTGTTTGCTTTTCATTGTTGCTGTTTTTATCATGGTTTTGTTCCTGGAGAGGATTAAGTAGAACAATACACAAGGACATCCCAGACTGGTGCTTTTCAGAACATTAAATAAACCTGTGGGTTTCAGATATGTAGAATCAATAGTTTTCATACAAAAATTCTAAATGTTTATATCAGAAATTTTGTATTTTCACAACAGAAATAAAAAATTCCACTTCAGCCTGTGTTCATGACACTTGTTTTCCTTTGCTGACAATGGAGCTGTACAGAGGCTTAATATGAATAATTTCTTTTGCAGTAGCAGTGCAAAACTCAAGCTGCTCCAGAAGTGCCAAATATGAGCAGATCTTCTAGTTCATCCCTTCATCTTTGAGTTCATCATCTTCAAGATTTATGCAATCCATTCTACACCACTTCTTTTGAAAGCATCATCTATCAAATTCCCAGCATAGCAAACTAAATAATAGATATGCATACCTGAATGAATGYACAAAAAGACACATACACAATGTCGTTCAATTCTGACATGATTCTCTTTACTTGCATTTACGCTTTAATACCTCACTGATTCCTACATACCATAAACCTAAAATAGTGTGCAAGTACTATATGTAAGTCTGTTGTCTAAACACATTGTTCTTGCAGTATGTTGGGAACATTAAATGAAGACAGGGAAGAAGGACAAGCAGAATTTAAGCTGTTAATTTTTTAACACATTCTCCTTGTCAGTATTTTAAGTTACTGTCTAACATTTAACTAGTCTGAAGTATAAAGGTAATTCTACAGGATTCATATGTAGTAGTTSTTGCAGCATTTAATAGTAGCTGACCTTCCCCTATGATAGTTGGAGCTGCAAAGTCATTATATTATTTTCAGAGCACTACAATTTTTCATTTCATAAAAGTGTTCCCATCTATTGAATAGATACATTTTGTAACAAAACCCCCAAAACACTGTAGAACATTTCATTAGAAAATAATCTCATAAAAACTTCACTTTATATTTCTGGAAATAGATTGGAAGAAAAAACCATTCACCTTTATGAGGTTTTGAATATCTATGGGTGCAATAGGTATCTAGAAGTGAAATTTATATGGATGATATCAGTCATGAAGAAGACCAGGAAAACCACTCATTCTTGTAGTAACAGTAGAGCAGTGTGGATGGTTTGGAGCTACAGTGGATAAACTRCCAGGGAAGGCTGAGAATGAATATGAAACGCAATGATGCTCTCACCTACAATACAAAAGACCTTGATCTGACTGTCTTTAAATTAATTGGGAAGATTGATTTGTACTTGAATAACAGCAAAGTTCACCTCAACTGATAAGCCAGTCACAATTGATTTTAAAAGCTGATTTAAATAATGCAATTAATGTATAAGCCTATTCACTTCTGTTAAATAAATTTCTGTATGTAAACAAAATCTGCCATATGAATAATTTTGAGGTTTTTTCTGGGGTCCAAAGGGGCTATCCAAAGTTGAAATAATAGATGAAATAATTTTGCCACTATAAAAGAACATTATTTTTGATTAAATAAAGGAACTGTACTTAATGTTTTGAAAATAGCTGACATTTTATCAAATGTAAATAAAGGATTCTGAAAATGCAGACTAGTAATCACAAATATATACATTGTAATTGGCAGAAATAATGATTGAAAGAAAATAATTGGAAACGGATGAARAAGTAATTACATTTCAACTAATTTATTGCAATTCCTGGAACATGTAATTATAAAAACAGATTTGAAAAAAATAGGATTAACACAACAAACAGATTTTGAAGATGCTGCTGAAAGAACATCGCACAGGAACTACCAAGGATATGAAGTACCTACAGATTAAGGACTAAAATATTTCTATGGATTAAAACATGGGAAATGAAAAAAAGGAGCAAGTTTATTACAGCAAAATTAGAGCAGTGGGGTGTTTATGAAAGTTCTTTAATCAGTTACGTGCTTAATACATTAATGAATATTTGGGAAACACAGAGAAATGTGGGATGCCAAAAGTTGAAAATTGAACAAAATGTTTAGTTTATTTAACTCCAGAAAATTATTTATGGGGTTATTCAGAAAGTTCTCATCAATTGGGTTAATGTGTAGTGTGATTGCAAGAGAAACTGTAAGGGCATAAATTGTAACCACAATACTAGGTCAAACACACTGATAGGCTTGTCCTCATCAGTTCTGAATTGATTAAATTAACTGACGACAAACCCACTCATCATTACACATAATGTGTGCATCCAAAATCAATAAATTTGAGCAAATAAATAGGGGAGGGAAAGTAATACAGAATTCTAATGAGAATTAGACAAACATTGCTATGAAACTTCAAAAGATTCTGTGTGAAAGCATAGAAAACATCCAAGGAAGGATTTAAAAATGAAAATATTTATTCAGAAACAAAATAGGATTTGTTCCCTCAAATCTGCTGTGGAAAAGTGTCAAAAGAAAAATGGCAAAGGACAAGTATTAAAAAATTACGACTAATATTTAAAATTGACATGGGGCAATACTTCTCCATGGATCATAATTAAAAATGAGAAAGTCTTAATCAGTTAATGAAGTCATAAATTGACAAAATCAAATAAAGCAAAAGCCACTTTATGCATAGTATGTGGTTACTTTGTGATGCCCCTCTCAGCACTACATTGTCAAAGCCAAAAAGTTGGGTTTGAAGAGAAAAGWGGAATTCTAGAGGAGAAAATGTGTAAGTAAAATAGCAGGAATATCTAGAATTAAAATAGTAAATATAGAAAATAATCTGGAAAGTTAGTTTAAGCCAGCTTATACCTTTTACATTGAGATGACATACAGGCTCAGATTAACCCATATTGGCCAAAACTTCTGAGTTGGGTTATTTAATCCTGTGAGTAAATTCTTTTATCTTGATTTTTTAACTGCAGGATTCCCAAACAGGATTATATTTATGACTTGAACACAAAAAGCATCTGTGTATGTATAATATTGGTACGTACTGTAATCTTACTAGCATATACAATGTTCTGCTACTCTTTTTGCATGTTCTATATTTGCTGTTGCCAGTAGGTGTGTATTTTGAGGCTAAAAGATTAATATCTGCTTGTGTGCTTTGGTGAGGAGAGGGAGACTTAGGTTTTGTATGGCACATCTGCTTATCTTTTACATGAAGGCCCTTGACCTGAGACATCCAGCTGTCTTCAACATTTGGGATACCTACCCCATCCTAAAGAATATAGACCTGGACCCTCAATTCTACTGAACAAATAGCATTTAAAAGATATCCTGACCCCACTCTGGAATCCTTCTGTCTGTATATGCCTGTGTCCAAGTTATTTGGGTTGAGTGGCTATGGTCACCATGCTTAGCTGCCCCAAGTAGTGACCAGCATCCCAGACTAGCAGAGAGTTAGCCAGGTGTCAGGACAGTGGGTACAGTCTGCGCTTCTGAAGGGTCACGTCACATCAGCTTAGCTCAGGCTCAGGCTTTCCCTCTTCCAGAGCCAGCCCCAACAACACTGCCTGTKCTGGTTTAGCTTGCTTGTGCACTTGCACTGAGAGTAGACTTACAAGATAWCATGCATATTCAAATACCATCCTTCAGTCTGCCAGCTGGGTGCTCTTCAGGCCGTTGCAGAAATTCACCCTTTCTCAGGTGTGGGCCTTAGTCTTCCTCGTGTATTGAGGGTGGGATTTATGGAGACCTAGCAGACTCTCGAGGTCACCCTGGCAGGTGGCTGTTTGGCCCCTGAGGTGGGGGCCTGGGCATGTTCCCACCAGTCGGTCTCTGACCAGACTCCCAGATGTTCAATCTCAGACACATGTACCTGTGTTTCCAAGAACTGCGCTATTTTCTGTCACTTTTTCCGAGGCGGGCTGTGCCCGCTGCTGCAGTTGACGGTCAGCAGCAAGGCCGGGTACCATCCCGCCAGGAGCTCCCTGCCGATGGAGGCTCCGCCGCCCCCGCAGGCTCTGGCTGACCCGGGGAGCCCCGCGGGGCGGAGGGAGGAGCGCCCCGGGCCATGTGAGCCGCTGGCGGTGGCAGCGGCCCTCGGGGAAGACAGATGGGGTGAGGGACGGCGCTCGGTCCGGCTGTCAGCGCGGCCCCAGCCCCGCCGCGGAGGGAGCCCCTCCTCCCCGCCGTGTGCGCCGCKCTCCCGGCCGGGGAACCATGGCGTCCAGCGAGGAGGACGGAGGCGGCAACGGCGCGGTGGAGGAGAAGGAGAATGGCAAGAAGAAGAAGAAGCTGGGCGCCCTGGCCACGACCTGGCTCATCTTCTACAACGTCGCCATGACCGCGGGGTGAGCGGGCGCGGGCGGCAGCGCGGCGCCTCCGGTGGGCACAGCCGGGGCAGCGCGGCCGGGGCTGAGGCGGGGACCCGGCGGGGCCGGGGGYGGCCGGGCGGGAGAGCCGGGGCACGGGGGAGCCGCGGGGAGCGGGGCTCTGCTCGCATGCCGGGCATTGCCTAATACGGTGCAGCGCTGCCRGCCGCCAGCGCGTCACCCCGCGCCCGCCGCGGAGGTTAAGTATAGCCGGGACCGGCATGCCGGGCGGGGGAGCCGCGTCCCTCGGCACGGCCCTCCGGATGCGGAGGGGGCTGCCCCTCGCCGCGGGGCACCCACAGCGCTCCTCGGTGCGGCGGGGGCTCCACGGGCCGGGGTCCCGGTGGGGCGGCGTGCTCGGGTCGGAGCGCCCCGGCTGTGAGCGGGCAGAGCCCGCCCCGGCTCCCGGCGGGCAGAGCTGTCCAAAGCCAGCGCGGCCCCGCGGGCACTGGGATGAGCGGGGACCGCTGAAGGGGGAAGAGCTGCAGTAGCCCAGGAGATTAATTCGATCTTGGGCTCGGGGCTGCGAAGCTTTGCTGTGGGGAAAGCGGGTATTTATTGCCAGCTTCATGTTTTTAGTGCTTGAAGCACTTATTCTCACTTCTTGAAAATTTTCTTTGTTCACTAACTCTTGGGGGAAAACATCCCAATCTATCAATTTCCACATGCTTAAAAGAAAGCAATGAATTAAAAATTTTGTAACTTATAGAGTGATATTCATCATGAGAACAGTTTTACTGTTACCAGTGGGTGATCTCTCTGCCCTTTGAATCCCACAGATTAAAACTGACATGCCACAGTTGAGGCAGGAGCTCAAGCACTGATGGAGAAAGCCAGGAATTTGATCGTAATGGCTTTCTTCTCACTAACAACCGTGAATCTTGAATATGTGTTCAAGTCTGTTCATATATTACGGCAGCACTTTTCGAAAAGTGCATTTATGTAATTCTTTTCTAGCTGGTATTGAATTCCCAGTCTTGTGCTCCATGTGAGAATTTGCTAATGAACACTGACTCTTGCCACTGTATTTTATATGTCTCTAAAAGATTATCGAATATATTAGTTTTGACCTTAGGTGCTGCTTCAGTATCTCCCACTTCCTTCTCTCCAATTTTCCATTAATATCAAAAGGAATTAAGACATGCAAAATTGGATATTTTATGCAGAAATGGAGAAAAAAAGAGATAGGAATAAATTCTTATAGTAATTTGTGAGTACAATTTAAGATAAAAATATGTATTTTAAATACAGCTATACTTAACAGAGACACTATGCAGGACAAATAAGCAACTAGAACAGTGTATTTGTCCAGTTATCCAGGCAGTGCAATATAGCAAAATGTTTCTGGAGTTTTAACAAACCAATGCACAACTGTGTGTTAACAAACACTATAATAAAAAAAAAAATTTGCAGCTTGTCTGGGTTTCTAAAACACATTTAAGGGAGTAAAATCTTACTGAAAGTCCCAGCTGGAGATGCTGCCTTTATTATAGAAAGTGTTTGCCATTTCCTGGTGATTTGTAATACTCAGTATAAGGCCTTTCCTGAGATCCAAAGTCAAAGCCACTGATAGCTAAATAAACCTATCTTCAGAAATTTATGTCCACATAAAAAATAATTTGAGAAAAATATATTTGCAGTCTTTGTTTCTGAGTGTGGTCCAAGATTACTTTGCTCTGCAATGCTTTGGTCATGGACTAAGGTGCAGAAAATGCCTTGTTAGGTGTTAGAGTTCTCAGTRTAAGTCTCAGACAGAGTTGTTGCTSTCACATTTGTGCTGCCAGCTGGATGTAAACTCACTGACACCTTCCTCTTGTCAAACACGTCACTATAAAACAGGGCAGCTTCACTGTGAAAGATTACCAGTGATATTCCAGTAATTCCTTGTTTCCACAGTGGTGAGAGATAACTTGAAATAAATGCACTCACATTTACAATCCGCTATAAAATCTAAGTAACACTTGCAGGGGAAAATTTTGGAGCGCTGACAGATCGGATTCATAGGCTTAAAGTAGAAGGGATCAAAGAGGGGAATCATTCCTACAGTGTGGGGAAGCCTGACTAACTCTAWGTGAGTTTGAAATGCTGTCATGGAGTGCTGGAATGGGGCACGGCGAGTGGCTGCATAGCAGTAGCCATTGTAGGAATGGTTAAGGGGCTGATGCTGACGTCCGTGCCATCCCTGTGCCATCCGAGGTGAACGGGAGCCGTCAGGGTCCAGGCTGCTCTCAACGCTGTTACAGCACAACAGATCTGACCAAAGATCAGTATTTCCTGGTACCCTGTTTCCAGTGTTAGCCTATACCTTATGCTGAGGGAGTAGTATGAGTTAAATATTTATTAAAATGTTTATGTAAATGTTAATAATCTCTCTGAATCTGCCTCTGGGTATTTCTGAGACCCCTCTGCTTTGTCACTTGGGCCCTTACTTAGCCACAGCTTATGTCCCTGTAGAATATACTTGCTATGACTTGATGGAAAATGAAAGGACTGAGTAATTGTTCTCAGCAACATCATAGAAGAAGTTAAACTAAAACCCATTGTCACTTTTTATTTTTATTTTTACCTCTCAAGATAGCAATCCATAACTCTGGTTATGCCTATGTCCATATTAAAGAATTTTTGTACTTAGTGTTTCTGGATTGAAACCTGAAGTTCTCAGTCTTCTTGCTRGTATGATGTTTTAAGAATAAGATATAGGTCTGAAAGGCTGAGAGAATTGTTTTTTTTAAGTCTGGAGAATGGAAACCTCCAGAGTGACATTACTGTGACCTTTCAGTTCCTGAAGGGAGCCCTCAATAGAGCTGGAGAGGGACTTTTCACAAGGGCCTGTAGTGGTGGAATAAGGTATGGCTTTAAACTGAAAGAAGGCAGGTTTAGACTGGATATTGGGAAGAAATTCTTTGCTGTSAGGATGGTGAGGCACTGGCAGAGGTTACCCAAAGAACCTATGGATGCCCCATCCCTGAAARTGTTCAAAGCCAGGTTGGATGGGACCCTGAACAACCTCATCTAGTGGAAGGTGTCCCTGCTTACAGCAGGGGGTGTTGTAACTAGATGATCACTAACCCAATCAATCCTGATTAAGGAACATATAGTACACTGTTTTGAATATCTTAATTATATAAAAATGGGTTTATTATGTGGAARGAATTGCTCATGCCTTGGACTATTTTATGGAGTCTGGGCTGGTGGTGGGAGGAACCTGCAGTTTAGAAGTTTAATTTTTTAATCTCAATTTTCATTCCAAATCTCAATTTAAGTTTTATATCAAACTCTACTATGATTAAGAGATACTGTTACTTTTTCTTTCTTTTACATTGGAAGGGTTATTGGCATCATTTTTCAGTTTCCTAAAGAAACCCAAATAAAATTATMCAAWGCCCTAAAATGTGCTAGTTAAATACATCTGCTTCTGGAAGTCAGGAGCACAGAACACCCGTCTTTCAGCGCTTTGGAGTCTAATATTTAAAGAAAAATTCTCAACACTGTTAAAACCATAAGTGTAGCAGTAACTTCATTTGGACAGTCACAAATAGAAACATTAAGATGGCTGGTCAATCTTGAAATCAGTGAGTTGAGGGGCCATGAAAAATGTCAAATTGATGTGCATAAATTCAGGTCCTTTACTTTGACAAACTTGCAACCCAAACAGTGCTAAGTTCACCATGTGTTTTAAAATAWCAAGATGCATGAGGATTTAATAGTAGGAATATGTAGTGAAAAGTCTGATGGTGGTTTTGGGGGGTTCTCTCAGTTAAGTCAGTCCTATGAAGGTAGCACGTTTTTCTCTATCCTTTTCCAAGTAAAGAGATGGGTGTGATGTTTACACAACATTATATAATATTTATGTCTAAAGATATTTTTGATGATCTAAGAGTACTGACAACTGAAGAATCAAAGATAATCYATGAAGAAAAATACTAAATTATTTACAATGGATGGATATTTTTAGAATTCTAATTTGAAATGTATCCATTCTCTTTCTTTTATAGGTGGCTGGTATTAGGTATTGCCATGGTGCGGTTTTATATACAGAAAGGAACACATAGAGGCTTATTCAGAAGCGTTCAAAAGACGCTTAAATTTTTCCAGACATTTGCTTTGCTTGAGGTAAATTTTAAACATTAGTTTGCTTTACTGGATGCTGCATATCATAGGCCAAACTCATTATTATCCTGAATTTAAATTAAAAATACTAAGTTAGCACTAAAAGTCCTTTTTACTTTATTATTTAATGATGTTTGGGGGCGGGGCAAGGTGATTACTTGAAGCAAATGGGAACATGTTTTTCAGATATAATTCTAATATTTCTTTAAATCTGTCACTGCATAGGAACTGCTTTGATTTGAGAGTCTTTAACACAAAAGGCAAAATCTTGAAGGCATTACAGCCAGGAGTCCAACTCTCTAGTGTAGTAGATATCACCATCTCAGAGATTATAGGTTACCTGTTATTCCTTATATTGGACTTGATATCCTTTTGTGCCTTYCCTGCTTWTGCTTRTTCYRAGACTGGATTCACATACCCCRTATAATCCATTGCAATGGGGTCTGTGYAAGATGTGCAAAGTATTCTTTGAGKAATACTTTTGCAAACTGCACTAGTGGTCTCAGTCCTGGCCCRTCTATGGAATGAAGCTGTTTGGTTTAYCAGGCACTTGCAGTTCTTTCCCAGGCAAAACAAGGAATGCCCTTCTACATTTTAACTTTTTTCCTCAATCTACCTTCAGTGTCTCTAATTCAAACAACCAGTAAAATTGTGTTGCCGGTTGTATACAGGCTTTTGTGTTGTTCAACTTTCACAGTAAGTAATGCTAGTCAARCCTGCCAAAATAGTGCAAAGCACTTCATTTGCTAAACGTTACTGACCAGAAAATACACTGGATCTAAAGCTTTGTAGCTGTCTTTGGCAAAAATATAATAATATTATTAATCTGTAATGAATGCAGAACATTATAAAATTGCTGTGTGACTAGCATTCCTTATTTGACTTCCTCCACACTATCCTGTAAAATTCTTCTTTGATTAAGGCAGAGTAGCTTCCTAGTTGAAAAAAAAAATGCTTTGTCAGTATCTAAATATCTAATATTTACAATTAATTTGGAAAATAAATTTCTTTCATGTATTTKCACAGCTCAGATATTGAGCCTATCCCATCACTGATTGCCACGGCCATGCCATGTATTTTTTTAAGTTTGTTAGTGGGAGACAAAAAATATAATTAAGCCTAAGTTCTTGTTAATATCAAAATGCCCTGTTTATACAGTAGCTAGTAACAGCACATCTGTAACCTCTGACTTATTTTTATTTACAGGTAGTCCACTGTGCAGTTGGTGAGTTTTTTTATTTTAGTTCTTCCTGTAACTAGTTAAAACATGAATTKTGGAACAGAGATAATATGTTTCTCTTTTTAAGGAATAGTTCGCACATCTGTGCTTGTGACTGGGGTCCAAGTGAGTTCAAGAATCTTCATGGTGTGGTTCATTGCACATAGTATAAAACAGGTATGTGTGTGAGCAAATTATGTTTTGATTGCTTTTAAGGAGAAGCTGCTAATACAGTTTTCATTTCACAAGGAAGACCAGTTTAAAAATTAATGATATTCCTACAGAGAATGCTTACATACTTGAGTACAATTTTGGAAGTTAGGGTTACAAAATGGAATTTGTGTGATTCTTCCCAGGAGACTGAGTCTGGGTCTTAGCTGTGAATGAGCAGTGTCTTCGGCATCACGCCCTCTGTGGTCTGCCAAGTGAAATCAATGACTACTCCTATTATTTACAAGCAWAACTACCCCCAGTGTTACCAGTTCCCTTTCAAAAAAATTAATTAGCACTTGCTGAATTGATCTAAATAAAATGTAAAATTATGTCTTTAAATTTATGCCTTAAATTGAATTCACCTGGATAAACATGATTGAAATTTTGCATTTTTTTTAGAAACCTCCTCAAAATTTTAATGTTATGGTAGTAATAACATTTGATGACATCCATCATGTCACAATGGCACTTAATGACCTCTGTAAATGACAGTAGTCTGTTTGGCTGGCTGTAGGTGGCTGTTGTAGGGTTAATGATCCATTAGCAGAATGAAACAAGCAGACTGCTCACAGCTAGTAGGTAGGACATTAGGCTCAGTTTGTGAGGTGTGCTTCCTGTGAAACACATGTAAAAAAATTAACTGATGGATTTTGTGCTCTTGAATTTCTTCAGAGCTTGGAAAGCTGAGCCATTAAGCTGTCTCACCAGCAGATGGCATAGGCCTTTCTGCAGATGGATTATCCTAGCACCTGCCTCAGTTATCAAATCTACATTTCAGTTCACAAGAGRTCTTGTTTTCTATGCTGCATCTTTTCCTTTACTATCGCTTTCTTAATATGGAATACATTAAATAGGCTTTTCATAGGAGTTTTTTGTTTGCTTTATGTTTGTGGGGGTTTGTTTGGTTGGTTTGGTTTGTTTTGTTGTAAGCTAAGTGTCTTTATTTTTTCCTTAAGGCAAAATGTGTTTTTATTTTTATTTTAAGGCAAAGGATTAACAAGATTTTTATATTGAATGTTCACACATGAGCTGGACTACAGCACTGCATTTTGCCATTTTTKATTATCTGCAGTGGACTAAATCTTTAGCATATCCAACAATTTTCTTTATTTCCCCTATCTACACTACAGTGGGCCAAGCTGTGTCYAGGAGAAAATAAATCTGAATGTATGTCTGATTGTATTTCACACTGTTTCTGCTTAGCAGGCATGAATGTTCAGGGTCACTTTAGGTGCTGAGAGGCAYGTCAGTGATAATAGCCAGAGCCAGGCCTCCCCACTTGACTGCAGATTTGTAAGGCAGCAGATAGGAATTCTCTGCATACTTATTTAAAGCTCTTCTGCTTGGATTTAGCACTGTGACATGAATCCAAGTTTGAGTTATCAATGTTTGTCTCTAATTGCATGAGGCAAAGARCAGCCTAATTCTGTCTTTACCTTTGCTTATTTGTTTGGATGTCTTTGAACTTCATTTGTTGCTATTTGTTTGTGATTTTGGTGCTAGTTTTATATCTCCATTTTTTTATGATGTTGGTGAGATTCTTCTGCTAAACATGCACTCTTTGACTGACACATTGAGGGCACCATTCTAAGAACACTTATAATTCTTCATGATTTTTGACAGAATTGTGGATTTTCAGCATCTTGGAGATATAATAAGCTTTGTCACCACGTTGCATTTTCTTTTGAAAAATAATTTCCCTTCTTATGATTTTGACAAAACTTGTGTTGCTTTATTCTGTTTCACAGACATCCCTGTAGTTTTTCAGCCTTCAGGCATAGAAGTGTATTCCAAAATTCCTCCCTTCTTAAAAAGAAAAAAAATTACTAGTGTGTAATTCTTCTTCAGAGAAGGTAATGTTTGTAATATATCCCCAGGTGCCTTCTTTGTATTTGGGGACTTTTGTTTATTTGTTCACTCGGTGAAAAAGAACTGGTGTTTTGAAACAGCAGAGATGTGCTACCTACTGATGAGACAGTTTAATGACTCAGAACTTAAATCTTGCACGAGATTGTTGAGTGAGTTTACCCAAAGCTCCTGATCTACCAACTACTCTTCATTTAGTGAGCCATCTGTGCTCCAGCTCCTTAACTATCTKAGAGCTCCCTGAAGTCTGCCAAGCTTGATCTTCTGTGACCAAATTCCAGTTAGYAGGTTATATGAAGCAATTCCTTTTGCCTTAAGTTTCATTGAGTTGTGCATTATACATAGTGGAAGTAGCAAGATAAAAAGTAAGAGAAAGTCTAGGAAATGRAGTAGTGAAATGCAGAATGATTAAAAAGTGATGTTGAGAAGGASGTATCTTCTGTAGCATTTGTTTGTTGTTGCTGTTTTGAGGAGTATGAAGGTAAACAAGTAGATCAACCACAAATAAAAGAGGGATAGTTATACAGTGTAGTAGAAATGTGGGTAGAGAATAAAGAGGGCAAATAAGCATAATTATAGAGTTTTATATTTTGATATTTGCATAATGGATAAAGACTGCTCAGTTGGCAAATGTCTGTATGTTAGTAAACACACATGATAATGAACTGTACCTGGTAATGGTTTCAGCATACCRCTTTTATGCCAGAATTTTCTTTCTTTACAAGATATTAGTTCTGCTCTATGTATCTTAAAGAGAAGCCTGTTGYAGTTTACAAAGAAAAGAAGCTTAAGGATGAAGAAAATGTTGGTTCTTTATACTTCTGCAGATCCAGAATGAGGAGAGCGTTATTCTTTTTCTGGTCGTATGGACTGTGACAGAGATTACTCGATATTCCTTCTACACATTCAACCTGCTCAACCATTTGCCATACTTCATTAAATGGGCCAGGTGGAGATGCCTTGCACTTGAGTTTCTCATCATTCTGTGCATGTTGGTTTCATGCATGCTCAACTAACACACAGGAGAGCAGATGTTTGAGCTTTGGTGATGTGTCAGTGAAGTGCAAGTCAATTACTTTCTGTACTTGGGATCATTGTTGCCTGGTCTAAAATGTTAAAAATATTGTAGYTAAGGCTTTTGAGATATGTCTTTTTCTTTGCTTTTTGAACTTCACAGTTTGAACTCTGCTTTCACTTACTCAATTTTTTTCTTTGCCTTTGGAGTCATCTTTAAATTTACAGTATGACTCTTTGCAATGCTCTTAAATACAGTGCCCAAAATTAAGCACCTGTCCTAGTCTTTCTTTGAAAATGTGGAAGTTGTTGTCACTCAATCTGTGTTAATATTTCTTTATGAAAAGTTCTGCTTTATCAGAGCTTTTTTGAGATTATATCCATGTAGTAAAGGTAAATACTGACTTAGTTTAACTCACCCAAAAAGTGTGTTCCATATCAAAACTATTTTGATTTTGAAGCATACTTCAGGTTGGCCACTAGATCACATATACTGCAGACACTGTGTGGTTATCAAGAGACTTAACTGGAATAGTATTCTGTGTATTCATTATTTAAAAAAATACATGTAAGACAGACTAAGGATGTTAGAAGAAAAATATCTAACCTGCATTCAGTGCAGACAATTCTTATTTGAAGGAGTTTGTTATTTTCCTTTATTTGTGTTTTATAGATAATTCACGTTTGATGCTTCTAATGCACTTCTTTGATATGTCTGGTATTTATGTCCATTTTTATAAAACATTATCTTTTTGCTAGTGCCTGAGGTGAGAGACTTGTTTTATGTTTAAGTGTAATGACAAATTTAAAAATACTCAGATTGGCTGTCATCAGTAGTTTTTTTTATAGATTTCAGAAAGAGAAATGCATTCAGAACATAGTACATTGACAGATAATATTTTTTGCCCTCAGGTCTGTGTGCCTTAAATAACAGAATTTTGTTTCCTTAATACACACAATAGGGAAAACTGACATTGTCACAGAAGAGATATGTGGTGAAATATTAATATAAACAAAGCATTTGAAAAGGTATTATTTTTTCATAGAGTCCAAAATATCCCATCAAGATTTATGGATAAACAAACATCACAACTGGGCATAAATTCAGTACCAAGAGAGATGGAATTTCTGAACTTTAGCTTATAACTGCATAGAGACAAACTATTTATCAGGCATCAGATCCTTCTTATCTAATCTACATTCTTCCCCTAATCTACATTCTTGGTGCTGCCAAGCAATAGGACARGAGGTGAAGGGCAGAAATTGATGCACAGGAAGTTCCACTTGAATATGAGGAAGAACTTCTTTACTGAGCAGGTGACCAARCACTGGAACAAACTGCCCAGAGAGGYTGTGGAGTCTCCCTCACTGGAGATACTCAGGAGCAGCCTGGACACAATCCTRTGCTGCGTGCTCTGCTTGAGCAGCAAGGTTGGCCCAGATGACCCTYTGTGGWCCCTTCCCACCTGAATCATTCTGTGATTCTGTGATTCCCTTCACCTGTGAATCTTCTAAGCCCTTTTCCTTCTAGGATGGTTTTATACTTAGTTGCTGCTGTTTTGGATCTCATTTCTTTTGGTCAGGGAGTGCACACTGTACCTTTGTGTTACATCTSTCTTTGCTGTTCCCTGCATGAACTGGAGAATTGTTCCTTAGGACAGCCTGCAAATCTGTGTGAAAGGACAGCACAAAGCCTATTGATTAGGATTTTCATTTTGTCACTGCCTATGTAGCCTATGGCATTCAAACCACATTTTCTTTGAACTGGATGCTTTGCCTTTTATTTGAACATCATCTCACTTTGAAATGGATCTGAAAAGTTTTTGGCACTGTCATTTTCTTTTATCTTTTTTTCCCAATTTCTGTTAGTGGTAAATGTAGTATTTCCATGTTCTAGTCAGTAAAACAGGCTTCTGATGTTTTTCAACAATTTCATTATCTTCAAACAAATTGTAATACATACAGTTGACCCAGTGTGTGTGCATTGTGATGAAAATATGTAGAATTAGCTGAATTTGAGCTTCAGTCCTGTCAGTGTCTGAATCCTGTCAATGACAACAGGAGTAAGATCAGTACATTTAAAAAAAATGTAGTATTGAAGACTAAAATTTTGAGGATTGTTTTATTAGAAAGACATAAAAGCATTCTGATACTTTGTTGTTTTTAAATAGAAGCACTGAGGCATTTATTCTCTGTCAATCTAAGGAACTCTGTCAAAAGTAACCGAAACTGATATTCTGTGCCAAGTGAGGATGTGATCACTGATTTTTGTGCAGGAACTACTGTAATAGATTGCTGAGCCACTAATAATAACAAGAGAAAATTTTAAATTTATGGGCAGTTTCTCACAAGGTTTTTTTTTTTTAATTTTTCAATACAGATACAACTTTTTTATCATTTTGTATCCTGCTGGAGTTGCAGGTGAACTGCTAACCATATATGCTGCTCTACCCTATGTGAAGAAAACAGGAATGTTTTCACTGAGACTTCCCAACAAATATAATGTCTCCTTTGACTACTATTACTTCCTTATTATTGTCATGCTCTCCTATGTGCCATGTAAGTATTATTTAACTGTAGAAACATTTTAACAGCGTAATAATCAATCATCAGCGATGCTGTAAACACTTCCTGTGTTACAATTTGCTGAACATTTTCAGCTATAAAAGCCTGCTTTTTGTTGTTCTAAGCCTCACCATGCTTTCATTGGTCAGACTGAAATTTTCTGTCCTGTGACCTGCTTAGGAACATAAGCTGTCTTAAAAATTTCAGTGAAAATGCTAAAAACATTTCTCAGACTTGGACAAAGTAAAACATACTTCTTGCTTWTCCACAGAAATGTCTGTAACTGTGTCACTGATACTTTGTATTGCCTCTCCCACTTTGAAGTAATGGCTTAAAAATGGTCCTGCAAGTTGYGCCAGAGATTTGCTGTGGCTTCTTGCTACTAATATTTATTTTGGAGAACTCACCAGTTAACCATCCTCAGGAAAAACTTGAAGCAATATTCTCCAAGATTTCATTTTCACAGAAATCACCCCCCACACCCCAAACCTCTCTGAACATCTGCAGTCCCTGGTTTCATCAGTTTGTCCCTGTACTTATGCATACCAGAAGCCATGGAGGTAACAGTAGAGAGATTATCTGTCTTTCACATCCAGTGTTAYTTCCACTTCTACCTAAGCAGTGAAGACAAGCAGAAAGCAACCTGRCACACCAGATATTCCACCATGAATAGGGCTAGACTGAACTAGGCAAATACAGTATTTCAGATAATGTTAATAATAGAATATATAATAGAAATTTTTGGATAATCTGTACATCGAGGCAGCAGATTAGGGAGAGAAATTGAAAAGCAAGAAAACTGAAGTTAAAAGGTCTGTATGTATGATCTGCATTCATAAAAGCTATTCCTTTCAGAAGGTGGAATAAACATGGTCCTTAAGGTCCTTAAACATGGACTTTGACAATATGCACGCACACTGAATCTTTTTGTCCCAAGAAATCATGAAGGCCAACAGGAGAGATTTATGCCACTAAAAAATATCCTAAGGCGTGATAACTCATGAACAGTTTTACATCTGTTTATGTAACTTAACACTTCAGGAATAAATTCAGTTTTCTAGCCATTAAAAATATGAGCATCAATTCTGTCAGCAGGACAGTAATACAGTAGATGACAGAGGGACAGGAAAGAGGGATCTCCTCACTTCAGACTTGAACAAGTAGGGTAAATTTATATCTTTCTCCAAGTCTTAATTCAAACATGCTTAGGACAGATTTGAAGGCTTCAAGCACTATCAGAATGTCGTTAAGTCCTGTTCCTACAAGGAAACTGTTGGAGTGAAGTTTCTTGAACACGGGGTATTTATTCAGGGGGCCTTGTCTGAGCTTTGAGTAATTACTATTTTTTAAATCACTGCAGTGTTCATGACTTGTTGTTATTTACATTAATCAACTGCACCACTGTGTGCCATAATTTTTACTCAATTCATCATTCTGCAAAATTGTGTTTTTCCATTATGTGATTTGTTGAATTTTTCCATCTAATTTGCTTTCYTTTATGCTTTGATCAAGTATTTCCACAACTCTACTTCCACATGCTGCGGCAGAGAAGAAGGGTTCTTCATGGAGAAGTGATTGTGGAAAAGGACGATTGAATCAAGCTGTGTAACCATGGTGCTTTTAGTGGAAAGGAGAAGAAAAGAGGGTAAAAACCCAAAACTTCCTCTGATTTTTCTGAGTCCAAGTTTTAAAACATGGAACAAGAATAAACAACTGTGCCTAAAATACCATGGACTGTATTATTTTTGCAATTAATATATTTTCAGACCTACCCTTTCCTCCTCAGATTCACTTTGATTTTTAACTGTTCATTTCTTCAAAGAAATTATTTTCTTATTTTCAATAGGTTGACAAACAGCTTTAAGAATTGRGATRGTTGGYTACTCTGCCTTCTGTTCTGAAAGTTCTGTTATGATCTGTAGTCATTGTCAAGAACAGGAGAGTTCATAAGATGTACTGAAAGTGAGTCTTCTGGAAAACAGAGTGTAAATTAGGTAATGATGTATTTCATAGACTAGGTGTATTGAATGTTGTTTAAGATTTATATTAAGTAATACCTTTCCAGTTATAAGTACTGTAGCATGTTGTTCAGCATTTTTTGAATTACAGTATCACACTGCAGAATTCCAGAAGGACTTTTGAAAGGAGCTGAATTCTTGATTGTGAGTGCAAATTTAGACCTCCCTGTATTTTTATTTGTATTTTTAAAGATAAACAGTGTAATAGCTGTCATATTAACTGGTTAAGTTTGTGCTGAGAAGTRGACATGATGTGCCTATCTTTCTCTAATCAGTGGCTGGAACTGGGACTCCTTTGCAGAGCAAAGCTGATTGTCAGCATGTTGCCTATTCTACATTTAAATTATGTATGCAGTAAAATCAGAACTGCATTGAAAAACTGTAGCTATGGTGAGATATTTGGCTTCTTATAAATAGCTCAGTGGATAGAATATATTTGAAATAGCATCTTAAAATATAAATTGTGCTTTGAATCRTCCCATTGGGCAATTTTAATTGCTCCCTCCCCATTAATTGTTTATTCTGTGTTGACCTAATTCTATTTCATGTCTTCAATAATCTGCAATAAGGATCTACAGTATATTAATAAAAGTTACAGATAGTATTACACTRTATGGTACCTGAGTKGGAGAAGTCCAACAAATTAGACACRGCCCAARAGATTCAGAGAAAAGGTGATGCATTTGAGGACACTTGGATACTTAGTGAGAGAGAGAAGGTGGAAATGTAGTAATGTGGTATGAAGCCTTGAAAATGTAGGCAACAAACCTGTCTTGCTTCTGGCTTCACTAATGTCAAAAGAAGAGTAGATATGTGGAAGAGCTGCATCAGGCAGCTGGAAATCAGAATACTTGTGATTTCTGAGGTAATTTCTGAAGTACAGTCTTATATTTTGGCTACCTCAGGGATAAAGAATTGGATAATCTTCTGAAAACTCAGAGAACAATAACAAAATCACCTGAAGTGAGAAAGAAGTCGGAAAGATTGAGTTGTTAATAGGTATAATTCTTTGTTACATGACAAATACATGGAAGAGGTTTTCTAAGTATGAAGGTGTAGCTGGAACTGGTTATATGAATTTGAAACAAGGTAAATAGCCAATAAATATCAGGAGAAAGGTTCTACCAATAGGATCCATTAGGTTCTGGAGTGACACAGTARTGCTTATTGATGCATACAGTGTCTTGGAAGGTTTTCAGTTTGAGTTGTCAAGAGTTCTCAGAGTTGGAAAGAGTTTGAACTATATACTTGAACAGGCAGTTTCTATTCTTAGCTTCAATGATTCTATGATAATACAGCTTTTTTTTTTAAATTTATAGATACACCAGAAAAAATGGTATCCAGTCATTTGATAGAAAAGCAAGGATTTGCCATATCACTAACTTTCAAATTCCATTTTTTGCCTTAAATTTGTGATATTTCTGCGTGTCTTCATCACATGTAAATGAGTTTCCTTTTATATGATAGGTGCATATGGACTCGAGACAGAACAGTTGTATTTCTTTAAATTTTAAATTGTGTAATCTTCGTATTCCTTAAATTTCACACAAGGTGCTCTAACTTAACTTACTACTTCTGTTTTATATGCAGCTAAAATGATTAAAAGTTTCAAATGTAAACTACATTTACGTCTCTGAATCACAAAATAGTTGTTTTACATGTGTTCAGACTAGCAGCYGTGTSTGTCCAACATTCTTTGAGTACTGTYTTATAAACTGCACTTGCTTTTTGATCCATGACGAACGTATCCACAGTTTTGGGAAACATATCTCAGCTAGCAAGCAGAATAGTCTGATAAATTACGAGTAACTAAGATAAAATTAAGTTCTGTGTCTCTTTTTTTACTGTCAGGGCAGCTCACTGAAGACCATAGMTATCAATTCATTGAAAATGCGTTGGATACTTAAGGATGTGATTTTGAAATCYTTGATCAGATGAGTGTATCCCATAGATAGTATTCCTTCTAAAAGAAATGCTTKCACTATAAAACTGTATTATATTTGTTTTCATTGTGACCTGAGCATATTATCATATATTAATCAAGGAGCTATTTTTATATACTTTTGTACATGTGAAATAGAAAATATATAGCACTGTTTGCTACAATCTTGGGTTGCACTTCCATAAAGCAACAGTCTGTACACTGTTATGATACACTAGGTAATGATACAATTTAAAAACTGATTTACAGCTACAAAACAGTCTCGCTAACTGTTGAATGAATAAAAGTAAAGCTAAAAATCGCTAACAGTATCACATTCTATGTTTCATAGACCAGAGAGATTGCCATTAGATTGGTTTACATGGCATTTCCCTAAAAAATGTAAGCAAAACGTTCTTTTCTTCCTCCTCTTTTTTGACTGAAACCTTTTGCTGAAGCCTCTTTTTTCACAGAATCAGAAAGGCTGGAAAAGACCTGCAAGATCACCATGTCCAGCCTTAAAACAGCACCACATCAAYTAGACTACAGCACTAAATGCAATGTCCAGTTGCTTCTTGAATCCTTACAGGGATGGTGACTCCACCACCTCCCTGGGCAGCCAGTTCCAATGCCTGASCAGCCCTTCTGTGGAGAAATTCTTCCTGGTGTCCAACCTGAACCTCCCYTGGCACAGCTTGAGGCTTTTGCCTCYTGTCTGGTTGTTATTCTGTTAACATATCTTCTGAAGCCTAGTGAGAATTGTAGGTACAAGATTATTGCTATTGACTTCAGATGGGGTAGGATTTTATCCTAGGTAGCTTATTTWAATTTTAATATAACATTTAATTAACCTGTTAAATGGACATTAAAACTTAAGTATGATTTTCATATGGTGCTCTCTTTCCAACTTCTTTTTTACATCTCTCCTTTTTTTCTTCCTCTCTGCAATATTCCTAGTTTTCTAAAGCATTTAAATTGTCCTGCTTACGTAAGATTAGGAATGTATTCAAACATCAGTATCTCTAATGTTTTCATGTAGTCTTCAACAAATTGTTCTTATAAAGGTATTTTCTTACTTGCTCTCTATATGCCTTCTGAGATGAATTCATATAGAGCATGGCCTGATGAAACTTTTTGAATGGCAGGAATAGGGAGAGTCCTTTAATCAGGTGAYATTTCCTACTATTGGTGGAAACAGAAAGACACCATCCTTTGTATAAATTCCACCTGAAAGCAGCTGGATTTCTTGAGGTTCCCCCCAGTGCTCACACATGGTGAAAAGCCGTTTTGGAACAGATTGGGTTGTTTCACAGCTCAGCCCAGGATGTTTGCAGGTCACATCCTGGCATCAGGGCAAGGGCAACAGAAAGAAATACAGTGCTGAGGTACCACATCTGGTACCTTATCTRGCAAGGGGTCACTGAGACCATTGTGAGGAGCACTTGATAGGYGTCATTTCTCTCCCCACGCAGAGATGAGAGGAAGCTCAGAGTGCCCTTGTTAYCTTCTGCCAGGGAACTCAGGGGATCAGCTGGGAGAATCTCTGCACTAAGGGTGTGTTACAGAGAGGGTTTTCCTGCTCTTTTAGCTCTTAGCCGATATGTTTTGCTGTCTGTTAGCCTGTGTGTCTTGAGATGGTCTGCCAGGATGCATGCAGCACCGCTCTCAGCAGCACAAAGTTCACTGCCTTGGACAAGCAGTGCACGGTGCTGTTTCTGATTCCCACTGAGCAGAGCATTTAGCCAGGTCCGTGTGCATGGATAGATTGCAAGGCTGGTTAACAGGGAGATGCACGGAGACCTTTTCTGTGACCAGATGGATCCTGCCTTTTCCTACCCAGATAGAAATATGTGCATTTTAAATCCATCTAGCTACTGCTCTGGCTGTGGTACTCACRCTCTTTGCACCAGCCTAGTTCAGTAGATATTTGGATATGTATGTGAATATTAAATAAATCAGAATGAAACCAAATCACAGCCATTATAATAATTTATAATTATAAATGAGTTGTTGCATTAAAAGTTTTTGTGAATTCAGCTCTTGTCTAATCTGCCTTAGAAAGAAAAAAAAGAAAGGAAAATTAATACAAATAAATGTTCWGCACTAGGCAGTAGGGCTTCATAAATCAAAAATTTCAGGCAGGCAAACCGGCTGCAGTTCATTAAGGATTGTTTAGGTGGGGTTTTTTTGAACAAAAAAGTTGAAAGCTTTTCTGAAAATCAAAGTTTATTTAATAATGTATATTTAAAAATGTGCTGAGACTTACTGTATTATTTATTACCAGTTTACAATTTAAATTCATGCTGAACCTACAGTTTTTAGAGATGATTAACTGTAGCCCATTAAAATGTTTCATTCTGTGTTTGTTGCAATGGCAGTTTAAAGAGCAAACTCCCATTTTGCTGCAGAGCTCTGTGTTCTCTTGCTCAAGTGAGTGGCAGCGTCGCTACTGCGATTYTTTGCCAGGCTGCTCAAGGGGTGAAATTGTGTTTGCCAAGGGCAGCTCCATGAACTCGCTCCCAGGAGGGCACAGCTTTATGGTGAGTGGCACTCTCCAGTCAGAGTTGGGCACCGTGTGCCRCTGGTGCCCTTCTTGGGGTCTCGAGTGCCTTCAGCAGCACTGATGGCTTTACAGATGTCCCCAGCTGATTCATCCCTGTGACTTCCCAGGCAGACAAGACCTGTCTGGTGAACTCTCAGGTCACAAAGGTAGAGCTGACAAGTGAACTGAGAGCTGTACCGAGAGAAACTGGGGAGAATCTGATTGCTGTGTGACTGCAGACCTCTCCTAGGAAGTGGCTGTGAGTTTCACACCTGCGGCTGGTRATGGCTGGTGATGTACACAACTTTCTGTGTCATGTTGTACCACCTGAATCATGTCTTTTTATTCGTGCCTCTCTTGCCTCTCTGTTCGGTCTTGAATGTACTTGAATGTCCTTTCACTTTATGGCTTTGTTAAAGTGTAAGTGCAGAAAAATTTATATAAGTGTATAGAATGTATATGTATAGAAGTGTATTTAAAGTTTCTTAATAATGTAAAATCCACTGCAATTGCTTATTATTGTTATTTCTTCTGAAATGCGTTATCATTAGAAGTTTACACGGACAGGAAAGCAACACAGTATACTTCTAATAATTTATTTATTTGCAAATATTATAAGACTTTTCGGGATATAGATTCAGATATTTGTTTCAGAGATTGTTAATACTGAAATTAATGATCAATTAAAAGACATATTCTAAACTTTGTTTTAGTTGATGTTTTAAATTTTTATTAATGTGTAGAAGTCTGTTCATACAAGCATTCAGCATATTACACCAGACTGGTATCTGTTTACAAATGCTATACTTTTTTCTCTAGAATTATTTCACAAATTAATCAAAGTCCCCTGTAACATATTTTCTCTTAGCCAGGCAGCCTTTTCATATTTCTTAAAATATATTCCATAAAAAAGAGGTAGGTTTGAATAGTAATACTGGTTTATCAAAGAAGAGTRGAAAACACAGGGCATTAAAGAGAATATCAACATGTGTGAAAAAAATTGCATTACAGAGGTCCTGAAATAGATGTTCCAGTAGCAGATGTTTCAGTGTTTTGRAACAGGACTTTTTTGTGGTATTAACCTTCCAGAGGGGTGGAGGCAGAAAACATCCTCTGGCTGTCCTTTGCTATGTGACTAACAATGACATTGCAGCTTTGAGGATTTCGTTGCCATGACAGTGTGACAAAGCAGTGTGTGAGCATCCACACCTACTTCTTTTGAATTAGGAATCAAGTGGTTGTAACGCCAAGGAGCTTAACTGCATACAAAGCTTAAATCCYATTAGTCAGATGTATTATAATGGAGATGTAGATCTCCTAATCTGAAAGTCACAGAAATGGTTTTCTGATCTAAATTTACAGGACAGGATTTACTTGTCCTGGCCCTCTACCAAGGCTAAGCCATTCAGATTTCTATAAAAGCTAATGGAAGAATATCCACTGATTGCAACAGGAGTATGATGGGATATGGACATTCCTGTATTCTGTTCTGTGTAAATCTGGATTTACCAGGAAAAGAGTGAGCTGTAGCCTCCCTGATGGTGCTGTCTGGGACAGGGCACGTGTTTGTCCTGCTTTAGCTGCTGCTTCCTCCCAGCCCTGCAGGGTGCCCAGCACTGCTCCCTGCAGAACACACCTGAACACCTGGAAATCTCCAGTAGGACACCACTACTGCATTACACTGATTTGAATTCAGCAGAGTCATAGAAAWTCCCTTCACGTATCTGCAAAAGTATCTTTAATTTCTGAAATTAATCTAGGCCCAGTGAGACAATCCATTAAAAATAGGCAGGGTAGATCATCCCTCGCAGCTGCTTGGACATTCCTAGCTTGAAATGCTGCCGTCACTGAACAACTTTGATTTTCATATCTTAGTGGTTTGTGCTCATACCACATTCATAAGATGGCACTTTGCCTGCCCTTAAGTGGCTGTTCCAGTTTTGGTAGAACAAATTGCAAATGCCAAGCAGGAAAAGATTCAGATGGGTGTCTTGCTTCACACACCAAGCACCCTCTTGCTCTCAGAAGAGAATCCTGACTCCAGGTGTGTGGTCACATTTGCGTGCCTCTTAATTTATCATGTGTAATACRTATTTACTTATATATGTGAATAACATAGACCTTCAACTGATGAGGAAAATAAACAAATTTCATTACTGAAGACAGCAAATGGCATTTTATTGTGTAAATTAAGTCTGGGGAGACCATTAAGATTGAGACTCATTCAGTGACAAAACAGAGACAGAATTGTGGATCTTGCAGCCAACACTTGCACACAGCTCGAATTAAGTATTTAACATTACTCCTGTTTTCATTCAAATTGAGGTGATATTGCTGAGAATAAAAAAGTAGAATTCTTGAAGGAGTCTTTTACAGTGATCTTCTCTGACTGGGGCTCGATTGATTTAACCTTCCAATCTGCATTATATCTAGGCAACTCTTGGCAAAAGAGTCTCTAGAAAAAAAAAAAAAAAAAAAAAAAAAAAAAAAAAAAAAAGGAAAACCCTGGAAAATTTATTTTAGAGTTCATGAGATATAAACACTTTTGAACAATTTTATAGACTTGGGAAATGTTTATTTAAATAATTTGAAGATTTATTTATTTATTTTATTCTCTGTTCTTACTGCAATAATACAATGCTTGAAAAGGTGTTGGAATTGTAGAGAACAATGCCCATAYTCTAAATATGCAGATTGAATCTTTTAAAAGATGATCATATCTTAGGGTTACAGAAAAAAAGCAGAGGCACAAACTAACTGCTTAAATGGAAMGAGTAGCTGAAATATACCTGCGTGYTMAGCTYCACTTGATCCGTAGGCTGTTGTCTATTACAAATTTCACTTTGTTCATRCTTGCTACAGAAGTTTTTTGATTTTTTAAAATCAATAGACATAAGTAGTTACTGGTAGAAATGTGTGCAACCTGAGCTAGAAAAAAAAGAAAAAGAGGTCACGATGTTTCCATTTCTCAATGGAAAATAAGTCTATGGCCTTGATGATTTTCTCAGTTGTCTCAGTGCCCTGCTATTKTACAGGTCAGCTGTAGTCCACAGCTGGAAGAACACTTCATTGTGATATTCCTAAATCGGTGCAGTGGCTGCAATCTTTAGGAATAGCTTTATTCTCCCAAAAATTTCGGGATGAAGATTAAATATTCAATGCTACTATTTTTTATGAATGCTCTTTCCTCCTGAAAAAAAAAGTCTGCTGTGTGTGAATGGGTCTGTGTGGTTTGTTTGTTTGTTTACTTGTTTSTTTCCACCTGTAYAGTTAYTTTAAAACTAATTACACTCTTGCCTAATGAATATGAAGTCAATGGACTTTTGTGGTTTCAGATACGTGAGTTCCTTGAGTTTATGGCAAGTTTGTAGTCAACTTCCTCGATCGTTWGCTTCCACTCTCAGCTGCAAATATTTGTGGGAAAGATACAGMGATTTCACCTTCCATCTGAAGCGAGCATTATACTTCAGATTATCTTTCTGTAGGCATTCAGTTTTTAAACTTGCTTCACTTTCATTTCTGTTTCCTTCTGATCTGTGCACGRTGCTGACAGAGAGAGAACAACCATGAGATCTCTTGCAAATAACATGAGGTTGTTGTTCTCRTTTCACTCCCCTGACTCATTTGAGCATTTGCTACAACCCTTGAGCCGTTAAGCAGCACTGAATCGGAGGAAACTCAATCACCTTCCCATGGTCTGTGAAGTGTTCAGGGTCAGACTGTGCAGAGGGCAGAAAGCCAGCAGAGAACAACAGAATTAACACTGTGTGTTAGGTAAAGAGTGAATGGCTTTAGCCATGTGCCAAGGRTAGCATGTAGGATATGTGTTCAGGGAGCTGGAAAGGAGACTGTTCCCGAGTCAGTAACTCCTGGGTGGCTGCTGTGCTTGTGACTGGAACAAGCTTGCTATTTAGCCTTTGGTATTGAGAAGACACATGAGACGTGCTTCACTGATGAGAGGTACCATTTATATATCTGCTCTTGGTTTTCAGTTCTGGGCACGCTATGTGCCTGCAATTTGCATGGTTCTACATGTTAGAAGAATTAACACCTTCCTCCGGTGTTTTAATGTAGTTTAATTCTGAGATGTCCGGAACTTCTTGGAAGAAAAAGCACCTTGGACTGAATCTGATTCCATCTTGAGAGCATGAATGTTTCAAGCAGCAGAAGTAAATCTATTTAGGGTGTTGGGTGCCCTCTGTAAATAGTTCTGGCAGCTCATTTAGTCCAGTCTCCCATCTTTCTGATGTCACCTTTTCCAGCATAGCCTCTATCTTCTAATTCATTCTGTGCTATGAAATCTCATTACACAAAATAAATTATTTATGAAAGAGAAATAGGAGGTATGTAGATGAGCCAGCATACTTAAAATCTGGGACCTTCCTTACTGCAGTATTTTGTGGCAATTGTGGGAGGAATGTCAGATCAACAATTCTGCAGAATAGCAAAACCCTTGGTCACCAACACTGGTCTAAAAGTTTCCTGACTGAAACTGTTTGAGGTGCATCTGCTCAGGGATGTGTGTCTTGTAAGTGCTTGCTGAGAATTCAGTCACAAGCTCTTTTTCCCAAGGCACCTTGGAGGGCTCTTTTTGCTTTAAGATGATTGTTCGTATTTCACTTCAGAGGTGGTGCTTAAACCTTCAAGATCTCTTGTGTTAGTGCTAAGCTTTCTGCCTTTCAAAGGGCTTTGACCTTCCTGTGATTCAGTTATACTCCCATTATGGGCTCTTAGCATCTCTYCAGTGATGATCTTTCTTAAGTGGGTATTTCTTATTTCCCTGAGATTGTTGTACCTTAAAATATCCACAGCCCTAGTAATATTACCTAGTATTTCCTCTGGTTGATTAAGGTTACTACCCTGGATTTGGTGATAGTAAAYATGGATGTTTTTTTATCAAGGAATGCTTTGTTTCAAAGCTGTGAGATACACAACAAACCTTAAATTGGAGGAAGGGGTTCAATAACTTCATAATTTAGTAGGACCTCTGAGACTGTAACAGGTGTATATTGAATGAGATAATTAGACACATTTAAAGTCAGCTGCACACAAGCTATTATTTCAGTATATATCTCTGAAAAACCACAGGTAGAGAATTATTGGTCTCATGATGATAGCGACTGCCCTGAGCACTAACCAGTGTCRTGCTGTACAGCTCCTCTTTCGTGAGAAACTGAGAAATAATTACCATGGAACTACCCTGAGCTCTAAATAGCTGTTATTCTTTAGGCACACTGCTTACCAAGAGGTTTCATCTGCAAATAATACCTCTTGAGACTGTGCACRGGCAGGATGTGATAATTCACAAAAGCCCTTAAGAGATTGCATTTTGAAATGTCACAGCTGGGTAGGTTTGCAGTTCACAGTAGGTTTGAAGATACAGATCCTGAGGCCAAATCCTCTGTTCCCATGTCTCAAAGGAATTATGCTGACTTACACTGTTTTGAAGACTTGACTTTTAAAGGGGCTTTTCTAAGAATAGTTCAAAATTCAAATATGTAGTATGTGTGAAATGGTGGTATTTTTCTTTTTTTTTAATTTAAAAGAATTTTAATTTATATAACAAGTTTTTTTAATGAAGCTGGAAGCAGGAATTTTCTTCTTTCTGAACCAGTCTTAGATTAAACATTTTTCTGAATATTCTAATACCGTGAAAATGCAAT